GTATTGAGGTTTCTCGTTCCAAACAAGGGATTTATATTTCTCAACGCAAGTATGCATTAGAGATTCTCAAGGACTATGGTTTTTTGGGAGCACGACCCATTGCTTTTCCTATGGATGACACAAAATTATCTGATAAAGGAGAACTTCTCAAGGATCCTGAAAAGTATCGACGATTAGTAGGTCGGTTAATATATCTCACTATCACTCGGCCAGATATCACCTATTCTGTGCATGTTCTAAGCCGTTTTATGCACGAGCCAATGATATCTCATATGGATGCTGTGCTTCGTATTGTTCGTTATTTGAAGGCTACTCCAGGTCAAGGTTTATTATTTCGTTCTGACAACCAGACCAAGTTAACTGCGTTTTGTGATTCTGATTGGGCAGGTTGCCCTATCACTCGCCGTTTGACTACTGGGTATTGTGTATTCTTGGGCGGTTCTTTGATTTCTTGGCGGACGAAACGACAGAAAACCGTTTCGCTCTCTTCAGCAGAGGCGGAATATAGGGCCATGGCAGGTGCTTGTTGCGAGATAGTTTGGCTTCGTTTTTTGTTGAAGGATTTGAACATTCCTTTGGATGGTCCTTCCATTTTATTTTGTGATAATCAAGCAGCGTTACATATAGCTGCCAATCCTGTTTTTCATGAACGAACTCGTCACATTGAGATGGATTGTCACTTTATACGAGATAAGATTGTAGATGGCACAATAGAGACCAAGCATGTGGGTACGGCACAACAGTTGGCAGACTTGTTTACCAAACCTCTTGGGAAAGAAAAGTTTTTGGGTATGTTACGCAAGTTGGGAGTTCTTGACATCCACTCTCCAACTTGAGGGGGAGTGTTAGACAAATAAGGAATATGGTTGGAATCCTTATGTAATTGTATATAATATTAGTATTGGAAGAATAAGCCGTCCTACAGCCGTCAAACCGTCCTAGCTTGTCTCCTAGCCGTCCTAGCTTGTCTCTAGCCGTCCTAGCTTGTCACTAGCCGTCCTAGCTTGTCACTAGCCGTCCTAGCTTGTCTCCTAGCCGTCCTAGCTTGTCTACTAGCCGTCCTACCTTGTCCTGCCTACACATTTGTATCATGTATATATATCCTTGTAATCTTGTAGAGAAAGATAATGAAAAAATAAGCATTCTCTTCCATTTGCATTCTCTTCCATAAGCATTCTCTTCCATTTACATTCTCTTCCATTTTTCCACATTCATGTATCAATAACAAATATAATTTTTAGCCTACATACCTTTTTCTACAATAACAATATCATTATATCAATAAAACACGAAACAGATCAAATGCCTAACAGTAATACAAGGCAAAGTTAGTTCCTCCTTACCAAAAGAGATTGGTGTTGGGTTTGAGGTCCATTTATCTTTGTTCTTGGGGGACCATTTTGTTTTAGGTGTGGAAGTTTCGTGTGCCCTGCTAGTAGAATTGAAGACAAATGAGCTTGTCTTGTATAGTATTGGCTGTCGCGGCCAAGGTTTCACATCGTCACAGGCGTCACTATGTCGAAGTTTCACATTGTGTATGGATTGTTTTATAAGATATTTCCTTATTTAGGCTTCACCTCCCCCTTACTAGTGTTATAAAAAGTTGTGATATGATGTGTGGTAAGCAGCCTCTGTTTCTTTCGCTGCGGTGGTGGACAAGGGTGCTTCTCTTGGGAAGGAGAGGAAGTGAACCGCGGATCACTTTGCGGGCAGAGAGCCACAAGAGATGGTGGTTTTTTTTTTTCCTACGCACTTGTATTGTTGTTGAGTTTTTAAGAATTCAATGGCTGCTGGTCCCTCGTTCTATCTTTCTTGCCTTAGGTGTTGGCAAGTTCGCTTATCCAACAAATTTGTTGAGTTGATTTCTCTTGTAGTTTTGTGGGCACTCTAAACAAGTATAAAAGCAATACAAGCGTGATAGGCAATCAGCCGTCAATCCAGTTGGATCTAACTAAGAATCAACATCCATTGAAAGTCTAAATTTGGTTGAGGAAGGTGCCGTTGCAGTGGCATTTTGTTTCACGGAAGTGGTCGTTAACACATCCTTAGTCGCTCTATTCGAGAGTTTGTCTAGTATGGACCGGCCCATAGCATGAATCGGATTCATGATCATTAGAATATTCATTAGATTCTTGGCGTAATATTATTGAATTCTTAGTGAAGAATCCAACAACGATGAATCTTAACCATAGTTTGAACCTGAGATCCATTATCGTTGAAATAGTAATCGGATTCTTGGCTTATTAGTCATTGACATTTTGTCTAATAATCCAAATTCAATGGCCATGACCCATTTATAAAATTTTGCACTTGGAAAGTGGAACATAGCTGACAAGGTATTTGGTGTACAATAAGGGAGAGGCTAGAAGGTTGAGGGCTACCCATATCTTCCTTTGACCTGTATAATCTATACAACCAATCAACCATCATCTCACTGACTCCATTGATTTCCCCAATTTCTTGATTTCCTTTTTCCGCCAATCGGTCAAAGTGTCGATCAAAAAAGAGAAAGCTTTGAGCTTTATCTGAGACAGAGAAAAGGGTCTTTTAGAGATGGGTAGCTAGGACTTAGCTAGTTTGGCTCTCTGGGAGGAGGCTGCTAACTCGGGCAACTCAGCTAATAAATTTACATAATAGTTGCAAAATACACAAGAGACCCAACGGATAAGGCGAGTTTCTACAAAAATCAGCAGACATTCTGGGTTCGATCCCCACTGAAGTCGAAACTCTTCTCATTATTTTTTTATATTTTATGCTTTCCTTACATACGCGGTGTTTCGTTGATCCGAAGCGTTATCAGATTTTATGGCCACACACCACACACGTGGCAGATAGCTATTGGTAATTTTCTACTCGGCCAGCAGAAAATAAAAAACAAGTCCAAATCAAAACGCGGTGACAATAAAATCAGATGGATAGATAGAGAGAGATATGATGTTGGACAGATTTTATGCTTTATATATATATATATATTTTTTTTTTTTTTTAAATTATTAAAAAGAAGTTTAAATTGTTAACCAGTACATCATGTTATTTACAAATATAATTTAAAAAGATGAATATTTTATCATCTTTTCTATACTTTCTTATACTTTATAAATGTGTGTGTGTGTGTTTTTTTTTTTTATGTGAAAAAGGAAAAGAAAGAGAGAGAGAGAGAGAGTAACATGTATAAATATTATCCACACCGAATATTGATAATGCTCATCATTCTTATCAACATTTGTCAATAAGTGACATTAAACAAATGATTACAAAACACACTTTAATTTTGTTTTTTAATTTTTTTAATGTATACCTGTCACTTTAGAGAAAGAACAAAGAAGAAAGCAATAAAAGCAAGAAGTGATTATTTTCTTTAGGTTTTTTTTTAACTAAAATGTAACATCCCACATCGTCCAGGGGAGTGATCCTTAAATGTATATTCTCATCCCTACCTAACACGAGGCCTTTTGGGAGCTCACTGGCTTTGGGTTCCATCGGAACTCCGAAGTTAAGCGAGTAGGAGGCCAGAGCACTTCTAGGATGGATGATCACTGGGAAGTTGCTCGTGAGTTTCCAAAAACAAAATCGTGAGGGAATGGTAAGCCCAAAGTGGACAATATCGTGCTACAATGGTGGAGGAGGCCCGAGAAGTGGTCCCTCCCGGGCGGGGATGTGACATAAAATGATCTCTGAAATTTGTATAACTCCTCACTTTTGTTCTTGAGATTTGAAATCAATAGAAGCAGTTCATGAGTTTGTCCATCATCAATCATTTTGGTTATTCGATGAAAAAAAATCTCCATTAAATAAGATTAAAATGAAAAAATATCCTCAATTTTTGTTAAATAATTTGGCCTATCGTTTGTTAAATTGAGGGTAATTTTACCATTTTGATCCTTATTTAATATAATTTTTCATGGAATGACCAAAATGATTGATGATGGACAAACTCAGAAACCACTTCTATTGATTTCAAATCTTATGAACCAAAGTGACGAGTTATGTAAATTTCATTAATTTGCATGTTATAAGAACAATCATCGTTATTATAAATCATTGATCTATTTAATTTATGTTAATTAAATAAATATTTTTTTTATAAAGATAATATTCTTGTATGTAAAAATATATTAAAAAATAAATTAGTATCGAAATTATCATCTACAAAATTTGAAGACCTCTTATTTAAAAAAAGAATAATGGCAACAATTTCCTTTTCTCTTATTAAATTCCATTTAAGTCCCATATTTTCCTACATTAATTACAACTCAATTCTCTCTCTTTCTTCCGATAAAAGAATCATATTTCTTCTCAGCCGTACATTTTGCCATATCGCACTGGGCCAGGATAGGAAGGTGCCTTAAAGATACAACGTACCAGTGCCCGGATTTGTAAAGTTACTATAAAACCACGACTTCTTGTAGTACTACCCTCTCCCACACGTTGCATTTGAACACAAAAAGTGTACATATACATACATACGTTGTATATATATATATATATATATATATCTATCTATCTATCTATCTATCTATTTATCTATTTATTTATTTTTTTTTCTGTCACACTACATTACCAAACATCATCATTTTATTTCATGTAAATCACAAATTATTATTGATGATTTGTTTTGATGATCAGAAATTTCTCTTCAACGTACTTTGTATTGGGTCAAACTCCACTTTTTTTTACTTTAGTTTAGAATAGGAATATCGTTTGTATTAAAAAAAAATTAAAAATTTATTGACCAGCATTCCAATAATTTTTGTTTATTATTTATCGTCTTATTCATTCTCAATATTACGATGACGATAATGAAATAAACAATATCATTGATCCAGACATATACTAAAATTATTCATCTAAATATGAATAACTCGTATATAAAATTGTGATTTGTCGATAAAAAAAGTATGACTGATTGATTACAGAGAGAGAAACTGGTAAGAAAAAGTTTCAAAATGCATGTAATTACTAAATATACTAATGTAGTAGCCAAATTAGCAAGACTGTCACTAAGTCTATATAAGGGACCAAGCTCCGTACTGTCTGTATCATCACTCTTCTTCTTCTTACATACAAAAACAGACAGAGAGAGAATGGCGAGTTGCAGAGTGCCGGATGTGGTTCCTTCTCCAGTGGAAGACGCTGAGCAGCTCAGGAAAGCTTTTGCAGGTCTCTTCTAACACTCATCACACACTCAGATTTTAATCCAATCATTCCAATTCCATATCATTAATTAATTAAATGCAATTAGATGTTTAGTTAATATCACTTTTACTATCTGATCATCCAAAACTTTGATCCATCCATCCATCCATATGATTCAAATTCTACTTTGTTTAACTTTGCAATTATCTTCTTTTTCTTTTCTGGGTTGGTAATCTAATATGACAGATTGATAGAGATATGATCATGGTGAATTTCTTTCTGTTTGGTTATCTTAAAATTCGATCACCTCAATTGGCATCATTTTTGGTGCATATCAAAGTTTAGATCTGGATCTTTCACTGTTCATTCACTGATTAACTTGTACATGATGATGATGATGATGATGTTCAATTTAAGTTAAAGTGTTTGATCTGCTTCTTACATATTCTTTACTGTTTAAGTCTGTGTTTTTCTGGATTCTAAGCACAATGAGGTTGTCAGTTGTAACCTTTCTACCATTCATTACGCTAATCATCATGATCGATCGCTTGGTCTTTGATTTTCGATTTGTTTGGCTTCAGTTTTTGTTGGATCGAAATAATATCACTATAATCTTGATCTGACTAATAAACACAAAATGGGGATTTACCCTTTTGGTTATGTGAATGTGAGATCGTATCATTGATAAATATATCCATGTGCAATAGATGAAGAAGATTGAATACTTATTGGCATCCTAAGTCATTGTCACAGTTGTATTCTGAAAATTAAAACTTCATTGCTACGAAATTGAATACATGTTTTCATATAATTGTATCAAAGAGATTGTGATTCTCTGATTACAGTAGAGGAGAGGTGATCTATAAAGAGAGTTACATGCTTCTATTTTTATTAAAACCATTGCGTACTATCCCCAAATGTTAGGTGCCTCGAATAATTAGCTGCTTGTCAGGCCGAAAGAAAAGAAAGATTACTTACCTGCTTTGGTTGTTTGTGTGCAGGATGGGGCACAAATGAGGGATTGATCATATCCATACTGACTCACAGGAATGCAGCTCAGAGAAAATTAATTCAGCAGGCATATGCCGAAACCTATGGGGAAGATCTTCTCAAGTCGTTTGACAAAGAACTCTCAAGTGATTTTGAGGTCTGAATTTGATGCATTATTTCTTAAAGTTTAATATACGTGAAATATTTGCCGAAATAAGTATTTAGCAGGCCATCAGAGTTTCTGGTGCACTTCCTTTCAAGATTATTAAAGTTTCAAGTACTTTTCAATTTATAGATTATGCAATGCACCTGACGATCCCTGCCATTTGTACCTGAATTGTCATTTGCCACCCTGGTCTAATCCAGGGTTATAATATGTCGTTTAAGTTGTGAAGAAAAACTTAAAATGCTATTGTTTTCTGGTTCTGTTTTTGTTTTTGTTTTGGTTATTTGGTTCAGTAAAACTTCTAATTGTGCTGTATTTCCTAATTTGTTCCATAACCAGAGGGCTGTGGTGCTGTGGACTCTGGCTCCTGCTGAGAGAGATGCATTTTTGGCTAATGAATCTACGAAGTTGTTGACTAAAAACTATTGGATACTCTTGGAAATAGCTACAACTAGGTCTTCACATGACCTGTACCAGGTAAAGGTGGCGTATCATGCCCGTTACAAGAAATCCCTTGAAGAAGATGTTGCATATCACACATCTGGAGATGTCCGCAAGGTAAAACCTTAAACTTCCATGGTCATTAGTACCCTGATTGTTCCCTAAAAGGTCAAGTTGGTTCGTTGAACTCTTTATCTTCTTTACTTTCTATTTTGTTCAAATTCTTGTATTCGAATTAATATCTTCACACATCTTCAACTAAATTGCTTTTGTTTTAATTTCTTTTTGCAGTTTGTTTTCAGAACTTGACCTGTTTTTTCTGCCTAGAATATTTTTCTGTATTTTCCTTAGGTTGCAGTTTCTGCAATGCGTTTCAAATTGTCTTAAATAAAAAGTGTTAAACTATGTTGCAGCTTTTGGTTCCCCTTTTGAGCACTTTCCGATATGAGGGAGATGAGATTAACGTGCCCTTGTCAAAGAAAGAAGCTAAGATACTTCATGAGAAAATCTCAGACAAAGCCTACAATGATGAGGAGCTCATCAGGATCCTCACTACCAGGAGCAAAGCACAGCTGAATGCAACCCTCAATCAGTACAACAACGAGTTTGGAAACGCCATTAACAAGGTACTGTAAACAACTATAAACATCTGTATGGAATGCATGTACTGTCACGAGGGCCGGGAATTCGAGTTGAAATATTCATAAGGTTGATGTTTTGAGCATTTCCTTTACTATCAAACAGTTGTGTGACCATTACATGTCCGATATGCAGGATTTGAAGGCTGACAAAGATGATGAGTTCCTCAAACTACTAAGACAAACAATCAAAAGCTTGACCTTCCCTGAGAAATACTTTGAGAAGGTTCTTCGACTGGCCATCAACAAGCATGGGACAGACGAAGGGGCGCTTACTAGAGTTATTACCACCCGGGCAGAGGTTGACTTGCAGCGCATCAAAGAAGAATACTACCGGAGGAACAGCGTTCATTTGGACCACGCAATTGTCAAGGACACTTCCGGAGACTATGAGAAGTTTCTTGTGGAACTGGTTGGACATGCAGATGCTTGAGTAATGCTGCTGATCCCATAAGGGTTACAAACCCAGTGAATGTTATTCTCTATGAGTTATCTTTCTTTGCTTGAGTGTGGTTTTTATTTATTTATTTTCTCTGGTTTTGTGTGGAGTTTGTTGAATAAATCTTGCTAGTACGTTGAAAGTAAGGATTGTGGATGGATTTTTGTTGTGTATGTTCTTGTTTTTGGCTAAACGAGTTTTTATTTATTTAATTTTTTGTTTGTTCAGTATTTTTAATGTTTCGTTTTCTCTTTTGTTTTCCCATTTCTTACCCATCATTGTCAAGGTTTCAAAAGACACCAAACACTAGTCGGTCAGTAGGTTGGGGCCTAGCACCTAGGCAGCTAGGTAGGGCTTAGGCGGAGGCCTAGGCGGATTTAAGTACATTTATTTATTTTATTTTATTGTACAACAATATATTTTACACTAAGGGGAGGGGGGAGTTCGGCTAAAGCCATACAATGGACAACCTAATTTGGTATCAAATTTGTCATCCACGAGAAGTACATTTATTATATATTGTATAAATAAATGTCTATTTATACTTAAAAACACATGCATAATCATATTGGAATACATAAATTGCAAAATAAAATGACATAAATTATAAAGTGTTAAAATATATTGAAAACAAAGGGAACAATCATACAATGATTGTTCTTGCAAGTATTCATCTCTTACATTTTATTGAGAAATTATAATGCAAAATGAAAGTTATGGATTTTCTGTTTAAGTCAGAATCACGACCTAGGCATATGTCTAGGCAGGTTTATATGGGTTAGGCAGATGCCTAAGCGGGTCTAGGCATAATTTCTTAATTTTCAAACGCCTAGGGACTAATCAGAACAGTGGCCAACCGCCTAGCACCTAGACAAGAATTTTTAGAATAGTGGTCATTGTAAAGCTTTCTTTCTTTCTTAGATCGATAGGGAGGGATGACGGCAATGGATTATAATTAGTGTGAGTTTAGGGTTCGATTCCCTCCGATTTAACAAAAATAACCTCACTAGTTTAGTAAATGAAGGCTATCTCCAACCGAAAGGGCTATGTATAGCTTCGTCTAAAATTATAGCCCTGTAAGAAATTATTTTTTAATGAACAATGCTAGGCCATATTCTATATCATCTCCAACCGAAAAGATTAAGTATTAGTCCCTTAATAATTTATTAGTTTTAAGTTTACACTTTACATTTATTAAATACTTCTTATATCATATGAAAATAAGGTTATTGAGATATGATTTTTTAAGGTGGATAGAATGTGAAAATGGATTAAAATGAGTCAAGATAATAATGATTAAGTAGAATCATGCTTTTCAATTAAAATATCTATAATATGCGGTCTGTATTTGAACTTTTCCAAATCATGTTTTCTAATTAAGTGAAATATGGCCAAATCAGGCCTTTTTTTTTTTTTTTTGGGTCATAGAAACTTCATTAACAACACAAGATGAGGCCCAATTACATACAACAAAAAGGACCCAAAAAACAAACGGGTAAAAAAAAAAATCTGAAACTGTTGTAGGCCTAATTAAATCAACTGTATTTAGAACTAGAGAGTGAGAGGGCCGGCGGCAAGAGAGAGAGGTGTAATTTTGGGGTGTGTATTGTATCACTCCATTGTGTCTTTATTTATTGTAGTAGGATATGTTAAAGCCTTACCCTAATAGGATAATATCTACTAAAGGGAATATTTCAAGATATCCTAGATACATTAGGATTTATACAATCACATTCCTAATCTAATATGACTACAAAACTCCTCATTGAGTGTGTAAATACTCAAACAAAACTTTGCATCGCGTCTTTAGTAGTTGAGGTAAAAAAGTTGATGAAGTCGTCGGCACAATAGACGAATGTGAGTCTCAAATTTAAAGAAAGTATGCATTGATGGTAAAACTCACAAAATTTTGCTAAAACCTAAGGTAGGTAAAAACTCATAAACTAAGGAGAAAAGTGAGAAGTATACATAATGTCTAAAACAAATGTCAAACAGGACGAAAGTAGTGAAATCAACGGAATATGATCATCCCAGAATGGGTGCCTCGTCAAAACCTTATTAGGTAGCAAAAACCCAGTGGGAAAAATGCTCTTAATCGTAGAAAACAAAGTACATTAAGATCAAGTGAGTATGCTTTCTGGATACTCCCCTTGAGTTAGACATAACTTCCAAATAAGAGAACTACAAGCAATTCAACTCAAATAATTTACGCATACCAATTCCTTGGACGAGCTTTTGTAAAGTAGACTTGGGCAATGACTTGGTGAAGAGATTGGCCAAGTTGTCTTGGGAATGGATTTGCTTGACTTCAATGTTCTAATGTTGTTGTTATTGGTGAGAGTAAAAGAACTTTGGCGCTATATGCTTGGTGTTGTCTCCCTTGATGCATCCCTTCTTTAATTGCTCGATACATGCTGCTTTGTCTTCAAAGATTGTTGTAGGAAGGTCAACGACGGAAGTAAGACCACTATGCTTCGAATATGTTTCATAACTGCTCGTAACCAAAAGCACTCACGTGAAGCTTCACGCAAGGTGAGAATGTCGACATGGTTCGAAGAAGTCGCAACTAGCGTTTTCTTGGTAGACCTCCAAGATATGGCGATGCCTCTAACGATAAAGACATTGCCCGTTTGAGAACGTGTCTTATGTGGATCAAACAGATAACTAGCATATGAGGCGGGAATCAACCCGAGGACCGAGGGGGCGGTAGCTCTTCTCGAGGATTCATGGGTGTAGAACAAGCCCAAATCCGTTGTACCCTTAAGGTAGTGGAAAATGTCTTTAACATCATTCCAATGTTTGCGTGTAAGCACGTTGTTGTATCTAGCCAAAAGATTAACAACAAAGGAGATGTTGGGTCTAGTGTATTGAGCCATGTACAATAAAGCACCAATTGCACTCAGGTATGGAACTTTAGGCTCCAAAATCTATTCCTCATCTTCCTTAGGATGGAAAAGATCTTGTTTAGCATCTAGAGTCCGAACGACTATAGAAGTACTCGAAGCCTTTGCTTTATCCTCATTAAAATGTCGTAACACCTTTTGGGAGTAGTTCAATTGATGTACTAATATTCCATCTGAACAATGCTCGATCTCTAGGCCGAGACAATATCGAGCTTTCCCAAGATCCTTTATCTCAAACTCTGATTTCAAGTGAACGACAATTTCCTCAACCTTTGCATGAGTTCTGATGTGGTTCATGTCGTCGACATAAATTGCAACGACCGTAAATCCGGAATGTGACTTTTGATGAATACGTGTGAGCATAGTTCGTTGTTCACATAACCCTGACTTGTCAAATATTCACTCAGACGGTTATACCACATCCGCTCGAATTGTTTCAATCCATAAAGTGATCTTCTCAATTTAATCAAGAAGGTGTTCCATGGTCTAAAACTATTTGAACCGGTCAATGTAGATTTCCGTATCTAGGTCCCCATAGAAATACGCGGTTACCACATCCATAAGCTGTATATTCAGATTTTCGGAAACTACCAAATTAATAAGGTAGTGAAATGTTATGATGTCCATTACGGGGGAATACGTCTTCTCATAGTCAATCCCAGGGGCTTGAGAGAAGCTTTGCGCCACCAGGCATGATTTATATCGCACTATTTCTTTTTTCTCATTACACTTCCTCACGAAAACCCATTTGTAGCCCACGGGCTTCACATGTGGTGGAGTAGGAGCTACGTGCCCAAACACCTTGCGTTTCACAAGCGAATTGAGTTCGACCTAAATTGATTGTTTCTAGTTTAACTAGTAGGTTTTACGTCGACATTCATCAACAAAATGTGGTTCAATGTCATTGCTAAGCATGATGTTGGTACCAACTATATACGCGAATGCATCATCGAGAATCATCTCCTTCTGATTCCATTCATCATCCAATACTGCATAATGGAGAGAAATCTCATGATTATCGGGAAGCCGATTTGTCTTGTCTAAGACATCACCGTAATCTAGAATAATCTCATGCATTGGAACATATGAGTAAACGGTAGTCGGATTCAGACTAGGGTTACTAGCTTGTATCTTTTTCCTCTTTCGGAGTTGTGAATCCTTTGAACTAGGGGGTCTACCACCCTTCAGGGTAGGATCAGATGATTGGCTAGCCATCAGTGCACCGGGGCCGCGTAAGAGGTGCACCTGCCCCACCTTTAGGGATGGTTCGGTCTTCCAAGGCAGTGTTACGACTTACGTTAAGTAAGTTCATCCTTGCAGGTGCATTTGCAGCGGCTATATGTGATCTCGTTACCTTTGCAAGATTTGTAAGGCGTCCAGCATGCTTTGAGCAATGCTCTAAAGATCTAGAATATGACGCACTTCAGTTTCAGACTAGGTAATGCGGGGATCTAAAAGAAACAGTGGGAGTAATCCACGATAATTCATGGTGTTCGACAGGAACGTTAATGTTTTTATCTCCCCCTAATGATGGGAAAACTATCTCATCAAAGTGACAATCTGCAAAACGTGCAGTAAAAAGATCTTCTGTCAAGGGCTCTAAGTAGCAAATAATTGATGGCGAATCATAACTGACATAGATTCCCATTCTTCTCTGAGGACCCATTTTGGTACGTAGTGGCGACGCTATTGGCACATAGATTGCGCATTTAAACACACGTAAATGTGAGATGTCAGGCTCGTATTCAGTAACCAATTGTAACGGTGAATGAGGTTGGGTAGCAATAGGCCTTAGGTGGACCAACATAGTTGCGTGCAATATTGCATGGCCCCAGGTAGATATCGGGAATTCAATTTGCACAATCAAAGTCCGAGCTATCGCTTGAAGGTGCTTTATGAAAGCTTCTGCCGGGCCATTTTAGGTGTGAACATGGGGTACATGATGTTCAACTTTGATCCCAACAGACATGCAATAATTGTAAAAAGTCTGTGACGCAAACTCTCCAGCATTTTCCAGTCGAATTGACTTAATCGGATAATCAGGGTGGTGAGCCCGAAACTTAATGATTTGAGCTAGGAGTTTTGCAAATGCAGCATTACGTGTGGACAATAAGTAGACATGTGATCAACGCGTCGATGCATCAACCAACACCATGAAGTATCTAAATGGCCCGCATGTTTGTTGGATAAGTCCACAAATATCCCCTTGAATACTCTGAAGAAACTTAGGAAGGGTCGTGAATAATCTTTGTAGCTGAGTGTTGAATATTCAACTTCCCGAGGGAGCATGGTTTGCATGGTGGATGGCT